TTACCAAGGCACAAGATCGAAATCATTCTGTGACTTCTGAAGGTGATCTTTTATTACTTCCCAGCCTAGTTCTATTTTCTTCCTTTTGCAAGGTACACTGTAATCACCAGATTCTCTTTGTGTAGTAGTATAAGATTGAGAAATCTCCAAGGATCTGGTATCTTCATTAAAAACCTGTAAAATAAAAATAAATCCACTTTTTTTTTTTCTTTGAGATGGAGTTTCGCTGTTGTTGCCCAGGCTGGAGTGGAATGGCACGATCTCAGATCACCAAAACCTCTGCCTCCCAGGTTCAAGCGATTCTCCTGCCTCAGCCTCCTGAGTAGCTGGGATTACAGGCATGCGTCACCATGCCCAGTTAACTTTTTATTTTTAGTACAGACGGAGTTTCTCCATGTTAGTCAGACTGGTCTTGAACTCCCAACCTCAGGTGATCCGCCCACCTCGATCTCCCAAAGTGCTGGGATTACAGGCGTGAGCCACCGCGCCTGGCCAAATCCACTTTTTTCATTGCTATTGTCTTCTAATATTTCATTAGGGGGAAAGAAAAACATCCTTTCTGAAATGAAGATACAGGGAACTCATAAAGCAAGAGTAATACATTACAGAAACATATAAATCTGATAACATAGTAAGAAACAAACATTTTGCATGACAGTAATGGCACTCGTAGAAAGCAGGTATTACCAAGTAATGCATTGTTTTATTTCCTGGGAACATTTACTAAAAACACTAAGAAATCTAAAAGTAAAGCAAAAACCTTTACTTTCAAAGGGACTCAATTTTTTAAATTTAAGAAATTTAAGAAATTTTAAGAAATATTAAGAAAATATTTGACAGAGTGAAATTACTACTCAGGATGTTAACCAAACCTCTGGGGAAAAGAGTTTTATTTAAGAAACATTAGGCCACCAGGTGATGAATAGGTAAGTAAAATGGAGTATATCCATACAACCGAATTATTATTCCGTAATAAAAATGAAGCACTGATTCATGGTAAAACATGGATGAACTCTGAAAACATTATGCTAAGTGAAAGAAACCAGACACAAAAGATGCACATACTGTATGATTCCATTTAAACGAACTGTCCCAAACAGGAAAATCCACAAAAACCAAGACTGATTAGTGGCTGGTTGCCAGGATCTAGGAGATGCAGGGAATGGGGACTGAATGCTAGGAAGGGATGAGGTTTCTATTGGGATGATAAAAAAGTTCTGGGCTGGGCACGGTGGCTCACGCCTGTAATCC